GTCCTGCCCATCTAATATTATAAAAAAATAATAAATCGTGTTGTAAATATTTGTCAAGATTATAACTCAAACAATTTTTCTCAAAATATATCACATGATACAGTACAAAAAGATAAATAAAATAATCTATTCAACTATTATATGTCGTAATATTTATTCTTTTTTATTAGTCTAAGATTCTCTAAAGTTCGTATTTTGATAAATAAAAACAAAGGATATCAAAGTTTGTTCATCAATCATACTCAGAAACTATCGAAAAGACGAAATGATGATTCCATCAATATGGTAGAAAACAAATCTAGAATGTATACGAAAACTAGGTGATACAATTGTACCTCCTATGGTTCTTTTTTAAATGATCTAGACATATTTTGTATAGATGTAGTTTATTTTTATCAAACAGTTTTATTAGCATTTATCTTCTTATGTATGAGAACAATCAATAAAAAAAAGAAAATATTTTTAGGAAGATATATAGGTTCTCCAGGCAACCCCGAACGCACGACCAAAGTTTTCAGCTTCATTGGTGTCAAATTTCATTTTCTGTCGGGTATGATTGTTATTAAATTTACGTCGATGATAATATGGATTGAATCTCTTAAAATTAATACCTTGTCTAATAGCAGGAAATGGAACTTTTTCTGTAAAAGATGCATTAAATGTATTTGTTGATTCATTTGTAATGATGTTGGACGTTCCTATTTGCAAATTTGTCATCATTTGAGCTATTTGTTCCGTAATATGTCGATGGCCAATCGAGGTAAAGTGAATCCCGTCTTTATTCCGTAGATTCATGATATCCTTCATAGAATTTGCTAAATTAATTAAATTAATGGAATATTGTTGGACCTTTTGAATAATATTTGGACTTAATTTTGTTAAAAAATCATTAACTTTAGCAGCTTGAAATGAATCTGATGTTGGTAACAAAATCCAAAGGATTGGTATGTTCAATTCCTTTAATTTCAACAAGCATTTTTCTAAATTGTTAAGATAAATGGAGCCGTCATTATCATTATAACGTGTAAGGTCCCAAATAAAACTCTGTATGATAATACAATCATAATTCTCCTTCGATGATAATAAAGTGTTCATGTAGGTATTCCACACTCGACTGTTAAAAACATATGATACGTAATAATTGAATTGTTTACATTTAAAAATTCTTTTTTCTTTGTTGAGGGTGCTATTATTTCGATTGATATGAAATAATTCGATTTGTTCACCAAATAAAGCATTAGCATGAACATTGTGTCTGTTGAATTTTAATTCATAATCATATAATAAACGAGAATTATTATTTAACACACAACAAATATCTCTGTATACACCTCGCATTATAGAATCACCTATAATTAATACTCGTTTATCTTTAAATAAATCACATAATTTTTGACCAAATGCATCATCAGTCATGTTGATTATATCTGAAACAAAAAGAAAATAAAAAAACAATAATTCAAGAATTTTTGACTTCAATTAATTTATTCTTTTTTGTAATGTGATTATGTTATTTATTAGTTTT